TTCCGCCGTTTTTAGCCGTAAATTTCGTCGATTTCGTCGTTCTTTTATCTCGAAATTACCGTTTAAATTACGTTTTCTCGGGGTTATCGGTTATTTCCTTTTCGGGTTATTTTATATCGGTCCTCGTCCGTAGGCTATTACCGGCGCGTATATTTAAAAGCTAATACCGCCTTTCCGATTACTAACTTAACCGGCGTAAACGCTAGCACCGCCTTTCCTACTACTAATCCCGCGTATTAAGATATTAGTCTATTAAATCGTTACTTCTCGTCGGTCTTCTTCGTAAGGGCTACCGGCGCGTATATCTAAAACTAATACCGCCTTTCCGACTATTAACTTTGCTAGCTACCGCTTCCTTTAGTACTATATCGCCGTTCCTATTACTAATTCCGTTCGCTAAGATATTAATCCGTAAAACGATAAAAGAAGGTTAGTTTAGCTTTTTGTTACGGTTTTAAGAGCTATTCGCTAGGTAAAAGCCGTATGTTAATAAACTAAAGCTAAACGAGGAGAAAAAGGAAGAAAGTATGCCCTATAAGCCGTACTTACGATAGCTAGCCTTATCCGCCGTAGGTACTGATTACGTGCTAAGCCCTGGCACTAGCCAGGGCCCTACTATAGGTATAGCCCATTATACGATCTTCGAGTTTATTATAGCTAGTAACTTATCCCTCGTTACCCGTAGTATAAGCGGATACGCGGCCTAGCTTAAATCCTTTACTAGAAGGAGGTTACGATTTATCCTCGCCCGTAAGTAGGCGAACCGTTTATTCTGAAATTTATAACGTATCCCGTTAATAAAGAAGAGGTAAACGCCGTAAAAATACCTAAAGATACGATCGGAGGCTAGGAAACGATAGGAAAAAAACGGTTATATACCTACGTATTTAACGGTATCGGAAGAAGCGAACCGGCGTTCGTAGTATTAGCAAAGTACTTCGTTAGGTACCCCGTATTATTAAACGAATAAATTAACGACGTAACGAAGATCTATCGCTAATCGACGGAAATATTCGCCGACCGGTTCGTTATTATTAATTTTTACGAATAACGTCTAACGGCGGGAAGATTAAACGTAACGGGCGAGGGATATAATATAGCTTTAGAGGTAAGTAACCTCTTAAAAATCCTTACTTAAGATCTCTTACGCGACGTACCGACCGGCCGCTAGCTTACTTAGAAAATAAAACCAAACGATACGAATTATTTTATTATTAATTAATTTAGCCCTTAATTAATAGATCTTATTAATATTAAGAACTATATACTTAGCGTTATTAGTTTATTATTCGAATTCCTTCGATACTTTAAAGTTATCGGTCGATAATTACTTTTAGGCTTTAGTTTAAGGGGCGAGAATATTAAGCGTAAGGTACCTATTAAGGCTAAGGGATTAACCGATTAATATCCTAGAATTTCTCGCTAGAGGATAACTAACGGAACGATTCGTCGGGTTACTTATTTATTAACTTTACCGGCGGCGGCATCGACTTAGCCCATTAATACGTCGCGGCTTTCTTCTTATCGTTCTTAGCCTTCCCGACCGCCCCGGCGATCTCCTCGTCGGTAATTCCCGTAGCCTTAAGTTATTCGAATAGCTTAAGGACGGCTTTCTGGTTTAGTTTCAGGAGTTCCTTTTAAAGGGTAGGGTTTATAGTATATACGTATATATATATAAGAAAGAGAAAAATTAGAACGACGAAATTATAAATCTAGAATTAAGAAAAATCAAAAAACGAATTAAAACGAAGATAGAAAACCTAGGAAAAGGAAGAGAGGAAATAGATCGGAACCGTAGAATAGCAAGAAATAAAAGGAGAGATTAAACGAGAACGAGAGAGTCGAATACGTTACCTAGGTCGTAAGTACCGTACTTAGGAAAGTTTCGATAATACTTACCTTAGCTTACGTTTAATTACGAGTCCGCGAACGTACGTATTTATTACTTTACTAAGAGTATATAATAAGAAGCTATAAGCTAACGTATTTCTTATTATAGTGTAGTGGTGCGGTGGATCTAGGCTACGTAGCCTTTTGGATGCGTATTTATATGGGTCGCGCACTCATATTTTCATTAGTTAGACTTAGACCTGTAGCTATCATAGCCATCACGGCCTTACAGCCATTCACTCGTTTCTTGCCATACCTTTTATATTATAATAAGCTACGACCTCGAAAGTAGAAAGGCGGCGTTCGAAGTAAATTTATATTAAACGATAGGCTACTAATCGGTAGGATCGTTTAATTTCTTAACCCGCTAGTACTTCTTCGATAACTTTACGTTTACCTTAGTCTTTACGATTTATACGGATCTAATAAACCCCGAACGAGTTGTCGCTAACCTTAATAAGTTCTCCTAAACTTACTTCGCCGTAACGCTATACCTTCCTAAGTTCTAGAAATTATTTAACTTTAATATAATTAAGGACGGCGCCTTCGATCGGGCGGCTTACGCGCTCGGCTAATTACGGCGAGCTTAAGAAAACGGTAGTCTTAAGCCTACGATAGCCTCTTAGTCCGTATATTACGTCGCGTTAGTAAACTAATAAAATAGCTTTAGTTACGGGTTTTAAAGCGGTATCTTACCGTATCTTATCTTTAAACGACTAATCGAAGTCGCCCGATAAACATAAGAAAATAAGGGGCTTAACCTTTTTAATATAATAAGAAAATACGCTAAAGTAGTAGAGTAATTTTATAACATTTAGGTTCTAAAGGGAAAGGTTAGTATCGTTAAGCGTTTCCGGTAAGCCGTAAATTATTAAAAGTAAATCGACTTTATTAACGTTATAACCTCCGCTTAAAGTACGTTAATCGGTAAGTCCCTTAGCTATAAATCCTCCGTCCGGTTTATCGCGTAAGCTAAGGTCCGCCGTTCTTCCGTAGCCTTAGTACTTAATTCCTCCCGCTCCTTCGTATTAGCGGACGTAAACCTTTATTACGACGACCTCGTAAAGGTTACGAGCCGCTCCCTTCCTTCCCCCGGCCTAGTTAGGATTAAAGCTTTTTAGACCGGGAAGACCTTTATATCGTATAAGTAAAAAGGAAATACCTAATTAACCCTCGGAACGAACCCGCTCCCTTACTATTCCCTTAATTAAAAGAGATAAACCGAAACTAAGAAAAAGATAGCCGAAATAAAGAAAGAATACGCCGATCGGGTTAGATCGGTAAAGGTAAACCGGGCTAAGTTAGCTATAAAGTAATAAAGAAGCCTCTTTATTATAATAAACGATAAGTTAAAGACGCGGCCTTAATAATTAAATAATAACTAGTAAAATAAAGTTTCGTAATAATTTTTAAAAGGAGATATTAATTAGGATATACCGTATTATCCTTTTTCATTTAATTACCCCTTATGGTATAATTAAACTGAGGAGGCTATAATAATATAATAAGATATATCTTTTTAATATATTACGTAATACGTTACGATAGGCCTTATACTTATATAGAGTAACCATAACTCCTGTAAGTACAGGCTATGCTATATTTATTATCGAGTTTATTACGTAATTAGATTACTATCTTTATTATTTTTACCTTTATTAAAGATTCATTTTTACCATTAGATATATCGTTCTCTAATTAATATATCTATCTTAATTATAAGCGCTTAAGTTATTTCGTCGTACCGCTATAGCCGAATAAGTAACTTTTACGTTTTACCCTTTTTCTCCACTTACCTCTTATACCTTCGGGCTAGCGACTACTATATCTCTACGACTAAGGGATATAGCTAAGATAGAATAACTATATTAAATTCCTCGTCTCTCGATTAGTATAGTAATATTAGTTTTATTTATATTAGACTATCGTACGAGCTATAGTCGTCGATAGAGTATACCTTCGAGTAAACCTATCCGGGACTCCAGCATCGCGTATGCTCTACTCCTCCTTAGTATAGCTTTATTCCTTTAATTTATATCCTTTTACCTAGCGAATAGCTCTGAAAACCGTAACACGCACTACTATATTAGCGTTAACTTTTACCTTCTTTACTTCTGCTTTTGCTTTTTTTTATATTTATTTAAATACCTATTTATTACTTTATAGACTTTTTAAAGAGCTATTTTTCTTTTTCAATCTTGCTATTAAAATAATTAATAATTTCTACTTATTATTCAATTATAATCATATAGTTACCTTTAAGTAGCTTAGTCTTTATAAGTCTTATTATTTAATTATTATATCTTTATTACCGTAGGATAAACAAGCAAATTGTAGTCTTTAGCTTTATAATAAATAAGATATTACTATATAGAAAAGTAATTACGAAGACAGAGTCTAAGAAGTATTAGATTATAACTATTTAAGTTTTTCGTACGTCGTAGCTTGAGCTGTTTATCTAAGCTATTAGGTTATCATAGTAGAGGCTTATTCTTAAGACTATACGTAACCTTATTAACATACTTGTAATTTTTATATATTTACTTTAATTTAATTATTAATTTTATCCTATCTGGAGGATAGTTATAATACGTCAAACTCCCTGTTATACTGATTAATTACGGGGTTAAATACCCTTGTAAATACCCTTATAAATGCAGTATTATTTAGGGAATGCTTTATTTTTATTAACTGAAAGTTCGTATATGCTGTTTTAATTATTTAAATATTCGTACAGCTTATTTAAAAGAGATATATCTAATGAAACCGCAGTAACGCGTCTATCTCTTTGCTTATTAACGCGTTCTTTTACCTAATCTTATTTCTTACCTATTTTAATCCTATTCATATATAGATTAATCGAAGTTAGTTTCTCACTATTTAATCTAGGTTAATTTCTTTCCGTTTAATTAAGAATCGATTGCTAATTAATTACTTTTCGTAGTTTAAACGTCGATTCCTACTGACCCCTTTTTCCCTAGCCTTCGGAGAGGTTCTAAGTTTTCGGTACGAAAACCTATAAAAGCGTAGAGCGCTTCGACGTATTTTAATTATAGCTTCTTACAACGTTACTTAAATAAAGTATATATATAAATTAACTTTTCATATACATCTTTAGCTGTTAATTTATACCTATTTGATTAGGTTAAAAATACGCTGTTTAAGTTGGCCACTTTTGTTATTTTTAGTGTGGTGAAAGTTGGCCTGAGGGGTGTGTGTGGCCAGTGGTCCCGTGAGAGACAGCATGTGGCACTATCTCCCTAGGTAGCTTACAACTGAGACTTGGTACACCTCTCACTCACTTTCGCCAACCCGAATCCTACGTACGATCATTCATCGCAACAAAATCACACGCCGTGAGTGATTAGTATCTCTCCTGCTTGGGCCCCGTGGGCTGGTTAGGCTATGGAAAATTCCACGGCCACCCTGGCCTCGCTTCTGCGAGCCTCCACTATCCAAGACCACAACGAGATCCTGAAAGCCGCCAATGCTGTTATCAGGGCCTCCAAGCAGGACGTCAATGCGCAACGTACCCGGGTGGTTGCCCTTTTAAAACTCGATCGCTTCGATGATGCCCTTCGAGCCATAGATGAGGGGGGGCATGTCTTAGCGAAAAAATGCCTATTCGAGAAGTCGTACGCTCTCTACAAGTCGGGACGGCTAGACGATGCGGAAAAGGCGGTGCAGACGGAGTCGACGTCCGCGGTGTCATCTCGTGCCGTCCACCATCTCACTGCCCAGATTGCATACCGCGCAGAGAAATTCGCGGAGGCTATAGATGCCTACCGCCATCTGTCGCGAGACCCCCGCTGTGGCCTGGCCGGAGAGGAGAACGACCTGAGGATCAATATTCTAGCTACGGCCGCCCTGCTTGAATGGAATGGCCTTGCCCACAAGCTTGAAGAGCAGGAACGACGGCCGTCTCGTGACCACCTCGAGGCCTTTGAAACATCCTATAATGCTGCGTGCTGTTGTATCGCGAGGAGCGACTTCGCTAGTGCGTCTATTTTTCTGAAACGTGCGCAAGATCTATGTGAGGCCAGCGAGGACCTGTCCACAGATGAGAAAAAGGTTGAGCTGCTACCGATCATGGTTCAGCACGCGTATGCCCTCGCGAGGCTGGGCAGAGGCGATGAAGCATCGACCTTGCATCGGTCCATCGTGCCGTCTGAGTGAGCTAGGCTGTCATTATTGCTCTTTGCCCTTTTCTAACCCCCCTTGGTAGGATCTCGGAGGCGCCGACGAGGGTGATTGCGCAGAATAACCAAGTTGCAATACACACCGTGGGCCGAAACCCTTTCCTTACACAGCGCCTTCTCCGCTCGGTTACGAGCCTTTCTCACGGCGAAAGACTGTTCCAATACCAGGCATCCGTTCTGCGACGAAATCAATACACCTTAGATCTCCAGGTGCAAAAGTTCAAGGGCGTCGAGTCTTCTGCCTCAAAAACTATCCTTCGGAGCCCACCCCCTACTATGCTAATGGAAACGGCGGGCCTAGGAGTTATCGGCGCAGCGGCCCATGTTCGCATGCAAACCGGAGCAGACGTTCTTGAGGAGCTTCTGCCCCTTGTAGACAAACGTCCAACGGATGTCGGGCTTCTTTTAACTATAGTTCAGCTGTACTCCCGAAACAAAAACACTGGACCGGCGCTGAGCCTTTTGGAAGCCTTCCTCAACCGCATTGAGGAACTGTCGATCCCCGGCTGTGAAGATTTGAGATTCGCACCTGGCCTCGTTGCCGTGGTTGTAGCGCTTTATCGGGCGCGCGGGCGGCAACATTCTATTCGTACTGAGTTGAGGAGAGCTTGCACTCACTGGCGTTCAAGATCACCAGAATCTGCCGCGTCACTATTACGAGAGGCTGGGAAACAGTTGCTCAAATCTTCCGATCCCGCCGATATTGCTTCTGCTGGAGAAGCATTCGACACCCTGGTGGAAAAGTCTGAAAAGGACAGGGTCGCAGTCACGGGGCTCGTAGCCTCTTTCGCAAACCGCGATTATACTAAGATCGAGCCGTACCTTAGAAGCCTCACTCTCGTCGAGAAACTGGTTGGCGGGAGCGATATCCAGAGGCTCGTTGCTGGCGGTGTCGCTTCCTTCCCAGCGCCCTCAGGCAAGAGGCCAGCGCAGAGAGGGCTAGAAAGGCCAGCGAAGCGCCGGCGGAAGAAGCGACTACCTAAGAATTACGAAGAGGGTAGCCAACCTGACCCGGAACGGTGGCTCCCTCTTCGTGACCGCAGCACGTATCGACCCAAAGGAAAGAAAGGCCGAAAACGGGCCCAGGAACTGACTCAGGGCGGTGTGGTTAGGGAAGAGGAAACGCTTGAGCTAGTTGGTGGCGCTGGTGCTGTCAAGGTGGAAAAGGCGGCCGGCGTCCAGGGAGGAAAGAAAAAGAAGGGGGGGAAGAGATAAAAAGGCTGGGGTTTAAGCGCACGCAATCGGATGCATTAGAATCGTGTACGGGACTTGGTTAAGTCCTAGGAGTGGACGAATTCTACTAGAACCCATGGATATACAACGACTACCGCGACATCTTTACACCTCTAGAAGTACTTCATACTCTCAGGCCGATCCGGGTTATTATCTCTTCGTCCTTTTGAGCGTGGGCTTTCTACCAGTACATATTTTCTTTTCGAGTACCTATGTTTCGAGTCCTCTCCCAATTGCCTGCTGAACCAGCCGCTCAAAGCACCGACATGGCAATGATTGCGAAATCCGTGGGAGCCGACGCGCCCTGCTGCGAGGGAATTCTATGCGCCAACTGCCTGAATGATGGGGCTGGGTAGTCGCTCTATGTCTTGGGCTGTCTCCTCGCCGCTCCCTTGCTCCGCTTCGGGAATATTCTGTTGGGTTGGGGAGCTAGGTGGCTCCGGTGTATAAAACCGCGCTTGCTCCATAGGACTTACCCCAGGGCTTTCGTCTTCGTCGTCTAGGGGAGGCAGAGGTGACTTTCGACCATCGGAGAAGCTGATGGCTGCGTCGCTGTCTTCATCGGATGGAACTGTCAACCCCCCACCTGTTACGAGGCGATGAGCCCTCGACGACGAATATTTCCGATGGAGTTCGCGGAAGGACCGAGCTGTCGCCGTACTGGCGCTAGCAGCTGATCCCTGCCTTGGCTTTCGAGCTTGGCCAAGGATGGAGTGGAAGTCGTCGGCGCTGGCGGAAGAATCGTGTTTGGAATCCTCACTATGGGACGACTGCTTACGCTGCTTCATGCGTTCATCGGTTGACATGCTCTGTAGCTCACTTCCGAAGTTGACTATAGATGCCTTTTTACCGTGCACGGTGAAGCTGCCAGTACCACGGAAGAGAACCTCACTTTCACGGACTGTTTCGTCCGACATTCCACCGCTCGATGCGGAGTCCTTGCCTTTCCGACTGCGGTGGTGTGATAAGTGCCCCGGTCCGTCCCTAAGCGTTCGCTGGAGGCTGCGGCGCACTTTGCTTCGTTCAAATCCATCCTTGTCTGATCCGGCGGCGTGCGCACCCTTAAGTCGATTTAGGTTATCTTCGTGAGCTCTGTCAGAGGAAGTTCGCCGGTGGGCAGATGAACGGACGGATTCCGTCTCCAGTAGGCCGGCCTGCTCAAGGATCTGCCTTTCGCCTTCGTCGTCGTCAGCCTGCTCATCAATCACGGTACTGTCTTGCTCTATCGCTGAGCTTGGCGTCATTCGGGGTGAGGTAGAAACGGCCGCGAGTGCAGATGAGGCACCACTTGACACGGAGGTTTTCCTAGGACTAAGATAGTCAGGAGGGAGGGGAGCTACATCCCGGGGAGGCTGGATATTTCGGAAAGACGGGTCGGTAGCAGTAGTTGGTGGTGTTTGGAACTCTTCGGCTTCTGGAGAATCTTCATCTGTTGGTTTGGTAGATTCCGATGACAAATTTAATGATAACGGACCTGGAGACCGTGGGCTGTGTTGTGCCTTCTGGGAATTGCCCCTTGAGCTGCACGGCGCGGCGGACGGAATTTCAGCGGACGCGCTGGTTCCAGCTCTACCTTCCTCGAAGTCACCGCTGACCTCCTTTTCCTCCTCCAGATCCAGCGCCAGGATATCGCGGTGGCATTTCAGCCTCCAGATTTCAGTCCGAGACCACTTCAGTTGGGCGATAATTTTAGCGGCGCCCCCACGGACTTGGTCCCGGGTCTTGTCCTGGATTGGAGCCAAGATTAATAGATGCCTAGCATTCCTCAATTGAGTCTCGAGAAGCTTTTGTGCCGATACGAGCTTTTCGTCGGCTTCATCAATCCTTTTTCGTATTAATTCGCGGCGAGCGATGAGGATATCCTGAGCCATCTGATGATCGATACGACTACGGTAAACATCTCCGTTGGGCGTCTGAGTGAGGCGCGTCGCATCGGCTCCGTCTGATCTCCTAACTGTACGTCTGCTTTGATCCTCGTAATTCCCACCTACAACTCCTCGCATCCGTACACCGGATGTCCTGAAAGCGGCAGCGTAGTTTAGTTTGGCCAGCCAGTCGTTCCGATCTTCTTCGTTCTGGGCGAGGAGGACCTCCTCCAGCCCGCCGTGACGGACGTATACGAACGCGTTTTTGTGCTTCTTGTAACTGATGTCCCAGAGAGCAACCCCACCATGGGTCGACATTAGAGTGTCGGGCTTGAACTGCTCGATGGGCGGGTTGAATATGAGGGGGATCCCGTCCTGACCCGATTTTACATGGGTCTCGTATTGATGCATTAGATTCTTAACCCAAGCGGTGTTTCGAAAGAAGTACAGCTGAGCGCCTGTTAAGATCGCCCCCCACTCCTGCCATGGTGAGCGAGTTTTCTTTTTCTTTGGGTCCTTACGCCATAGCAGCCCGACCTTGGTGACCTTGATATCCACAATGCCGGGATGCGCTTCTTGCGGATTATTAGCCGTCTTCTCCGTCATGAAGGCATCTGGCCGGGACCGCGCCGAGACTATCTGTAAAACCCCAGTCCTGAAGAATGTCTTCTGTAGCTCCTTTAGGTTCAAGTTCCGAGCGGTGCCTAGGTAGCTATAGTGTTCCTCTAGAGGTATCTGATCCTTGAGTGGCGGTCTTAGGGTTTCGAGTTGACCGTCGAGGATGAGTGTGTATGGATCAATTGGATCCTTTGATCTTCGTAGTGTCTCGGGTGTGCCGTTCGGGAAGATGGCTATCCTTTTCGATCTCAGGCTACTGGTGCGGTCCCCATTTACGGTGGGATCGTCTTCCACGTGGATAAACGGTGTATAGCTGATGTTGTCATAGAAACACTCGAGTATATCATCGAAGATGCCTTCACCGTGGGTGTTCTTCAGATAATCAACCTTCTGCATCTTATACTTATTGTTCTTGTTGAACACATCTGTGTGTAATATGAGAAGGGAAAAGGCTATGAAATAGGCTTGGTCGGGAGTAGAGTAGATGCCGGGATTGCATTCGTGGTAGCGGTTCGCGAATGCTTGTAGGCAGCGATCGATCTGCTGGGTTTCCTTGGGAAGCTCGGCCTCCATCAGGAGCTTCCGTATGGCCATGTCCATCGGTTCTTCAAAAAAGCTGAAGGTTCGCATATAACTTCGCAGCACTGATGCTGAAAATGGGTCGGTCTCCTTTGATAGGGCGCTTGCAATCACGCCGTGGCTAAGTACATCTTCTAGGCGTGCTAGATACTTGGCGGGGGTATCATCTTCCCGTCGCTCGGGGAGTACTACTGGCTCCCGGGCTAGCTGGAGCGAGTTGTTCTTGGAGGCATTGGAACCAGGAGTTGCAGGTGTAAGGCTCCCATGCCGTAAGTTATCGGGATTCTGTCGTATGCGGCCGAGACCCAAAAGGTCACCGAAACTTTTTCGGCCGATGGATGACGAGGTTCGGGTAGTCCCTAGATGCTGACGGTCATCAACGAAATTATCTCCGACGGAGCTCATGGTCAAAGACCTACCCCTGGTACCGGGATGGACTCGGGATGGGGAAGATTGCCCAGAGTTCCGTGAAGCCGGTTTAAATAACGTCGTGGCCGGCGAACCGGAAACTTTTCCATGTTGGACTGTAGCGCGGGGGGGAGAAGCTAAGGGGGTCGATACGTCCTGTCCCGTCGAAGGGCGAGACGTATCTGGCGTGACATTGAAGGGGCGCGACGAGGTAGAAGCACGTGGGCCGGACGTCGTGGGGGTCTTAGATCTCTGTGGTAGATGGGCCAGAGGAAATAGAGGTTCGGGCTGCTTCTGCTTGCGGCGGAGGCGAAAAAACCCTGTTGGATGAGACGAGCCGGCCGGTGTTGATGCGGCATGGTCGTTGGAGCTACTTTCAGATCTGGACGACTCGGAAAGTCGGCCAACGGGGGGGGCTAAGGAAGAGTTCTGGTCATCGGCATTTGCGTGGCACGTATCCCCTCCAAAACTAGAAGGCTCCTCAAAGGTTACCGCCTGCTTAGTCGTCGAGGGTGTTACTCGCTCGGTTATGGTCTTTTTCTTCTCTTTCTTGGCCGTCCAGGACTGCACAAGCTTCAGTGCGGGTTCTCGGTCACCTTCAGGGATGTCACTTGATCGGCGCATCCGCATTGGGATCTTCATACGCAGTTGCTTATTGGGCTGACTGTCTATATCCATAGTAGGTGCTGTGGTAATGATGGCAGGAGCTGAACGTGGTAGCCGGTTAGCAAGCGGACTCAACGGAAGCCCCAGCCAAAGACCGAAGCCGGAGAAGAGGAAAGGGGAGGAAATGAGAAATGGGAAGAAGAATCAGCAAGCGGGACTTACGCTGGGGAATAGGTGGTGGCTTCTCGGCTTGCTGTTGTTGTCTTAATCTGGCCGATAATTGGGAATCAGAGGCATTGCGAAACCTCAGCATGCTGAACCTGCGGTGCTTCGGTGAATCGTCTTGTACAGGTGGGGATTCCGGGCGATTGTACGGGTCTTCGCTTTCCCTTCCGGGGAACATCGAGGCTGACGCGGACGTGGTGGCGACCGTGTCGACTGAAGACTTGCCGGCGTCGTCGTTTCCGCCCGCGGCCTCATACGTCGGGCCGCCTCCGTTCTTCGCGAAAAGATCCGGACTCAGCAAAGTATCAACTTGGGGCTCGCGTGAGAATTGCTTGGTGGAAGCGGCAGGAGGTGGATCCACCAGGATGGTGTGCCGTCTCATGTCCGAGTCGCTGGCCATGACGCCGCGACGGCGTAGAAAGGGCATCGCGATAAGCGACGGTGTGGCGTGGATCTGGAAAGTCACTATGCATGCTTAACTATACGACCTTGTCTGAGAGGGGCACACGGCAGCGGTAGCAACGGCGAGGATTGCAACAGACGATGATCATCACGTCAGGAATTGCAACGGCGGGGGCCCAATGTCAAAGCATAGAGTAGGGAGAGGGCGAAGGGGAGGGCGGCGGTGGTAGGAATGGAAGGGCGTTGTTGGATTGCTCTCAAAGGGGGAAGAGAAGTAGGCGGTCGAAGCGATCTTTTCTCGGACGATACACGTATGTCACCAGAACTGCCCCCAAATGACGGTTGGTAGCAGGTAGCGGATGGACGTGAGGTAATGTCAGCACCGACGCGGAACTATGCTCAACGCCCACGAGATGAATTAAGGATGGCTTACAGACCGTCTCGACGGTCAACTAGGTAGAGATCTGCCGGTTGATTAATCGATCAGTCCAACGAGATTAGGTAGTTAACGTAGTACAATATGTATAGAATAATTAAATCCGTATTGTCATTATGTAACGTTAAAAGTACGATATTAATATTTATTATTTTATAAAATAAAGTCTCTAAGATTTATATATTAATTCATATTAATTATAAATATATAAAATATCTATTTTATTAACGTTATTTAATAAATATATATGTGTATAATATTAATATTAATATAATAGTATTATTAAATGGAATTTTAAATAATTAATTATTAAAAGAAGCTTAGAAGATAAACTAGAAACAGCCTCTACCTTATGTAAGTGTATATGTACCTACTTGTTCTTATTATGTGGAAGGTGCCTGGAGCGAGAAGACAAGTACTATCCTACCCTTCTGCTTCATTTTTCGTAACACCTCCTTCCCTTGAGCTCGGATGCTTTGATGTCACGGGCCTTCGTTACCCATGATGGTCGCCGCCGCCCTTCCTCGTTATTCCTTCGTATCTCTCATGCTCTCCATCCTCGCGGTAACCCCCACGTCAAACGCTGTCAGTCTTTCTCGGACGGTCCCTCCCTCTCGCCCATATGAGGGCGCCTCGTATCTCCAACGGGTGCTTGATATCTCGTTTTCCTGGTCGCCGAGGAGGTCGAGGAATCATCAAAGCCAATGGGTTGATACTCATCCCAAGCTCCTCGAGAGCCTCCAGAGGTACAACGAGGAGGTTGTGATACGCTTCAATGTCTCGACGGGTGCGCATGAGGCAGCTCTGAGAAAGGCCGTCGATCAGATGTTGCTCGATGTCTGGGGCTTCACTGATAATTACGTGGATATACGCCTCGAAACTCGCCGTATACGTCCATTGATGGGGATCTTGCCGGCGTCTCTACATGACGACCATTTCATCCTGATTCCCGACCTAGCTCGCGTTGCCGCCGCCACCTACCCATCTAATGCGCCCACCCACTTGGTTGTCCAATCCCTCTTGAACGACCGGAGTATCACTCCCCCACACGAGATTCCTTTGCCTAAGAGGCGGGGTGTCGACGATATTTTTTTCCACAATTACCAGCCGCTCTCTGTCATTCACACGTGGATGAAGCTGCTTGACTCTATGTTCCGGGGTCGAGGCCTCGTTCAGATGATCAGTATTGGCAAATCGTACCAGGGGCGCGATATACCGGCGTTGAGGGTGGGCATAGCATCGGACCGCTCTGCGCTGCGCGGCTCTAGCAGTCTCCGTAGGGATACCATTCTCATTACCGGCGGTACTCATGCGAGAGAATGGATATCAATAAGTACGGTGAATTACGTCGCATGGTCTTTTATCAGGTCGATTGACGAAGATCCAATGATAACGAAGATTCTCCAACATTTCGATATCGTCTTCGTTCCTGTCCTAAACCCCGACGGGTACCAGTATACTTGGGAGGCCGATCGGCTATGGCGCAAGTCCAGGCAACGGACAAAGATGCAGTATTGTCCCGGGCTCGATTTGGATCACGCCTTTGGCTACCAGTGGGATGCCGCCGAACATCAGAGCGAACCGTGCTCTGAGAGTTATGGTGGAGATCAGCCCTTCCAGGCGGTTGAAGCCGCTCAGCTAGCCGACTGGGCCCGGAACGAGGCAGACAACGGCGTCAACTTCGTAGGCTATCTAGATCTCCACTCATACTCCCAGCAGGTCCTATATCCTTATACGTACTCCTGCGCTGCGCATCCACCCAACATGGAAAATCTAGAGGAAGTAGCTATGAATTTGGCTAAGCACATACGGCTTTCCAATGGAGAAATCTATACCGTCGCGTCTGCCTGCGAGGGCGCCGTGGCGAGTGAGGACTCTTCAGGCCAAAGAGTCCGAGTCGAAGCCGGCGGAGGTTCGGCGGTCGACTACATCTTCCACGAGTTAGGCGCTCGTTATAGCTACCAGATCAAGCTACGGGACACTGGGAGCTACGGTTTCCTTCTGCCGAGTGAATACATCATCCCCACCGGTGAGGAATTGTATCAGTCGATGAAGTATTTCGGTGACTATCTTTTAGGTAATAATGGTCACGAACCATGGGCCCGTCCCGTCGCCGCTGGAAGCCAGGGCAGGCGGCGGGTCAGAGTAGGCACGAATGGGAATGAAGAAATGGTGGAACTTCGAAAGCAACGAAGAGGAGCCATTCCTAGTCCGCGTAGGCAGTAAGGACCTTGGAATCTATATGCTTGTTGCCTGCATTGTTGCGTAGCTTAGCGACCGGTGATGTGGTCGAAGTGGGTATTTTCTTGTTGGGATCTTGACAATAGATTACGGGGAAGACAACTATGTGTGGTTGATCTCGGGCCAGCGACGTTTTCATAAATGAGCTTGGTCTAGGTATACGTTGAAATATACAAAAATACGTCAGTATGGACATACGCACACAATTTTGGAGTATCGAGTCCGTAACGGTATGAGAAGGGGTCGTGACTGAGCGCGAAGGTCGCAGCGGCTATGACTAGAAGCGTAGAGTCGAGGGCATCGAGAAGCGGAGGTTTTGTGAGTAGAGTGAATACAATTCACAATCGGGAGTTAGAGGCGCATCGGGCACGTAGTATTTCCCCCATTCCTAGTCTCGCGCCGCCGATCTCCGTCACTACCCGAACTGGCTTGCGCATACAACCGACTCCGGTGGTGATGCAGCACGTCCAGAGCCTTATACGTTTGGCAGCATCTTGACGCCGGCGACGACGGCCATGATTTTCAAGGCAGCATCAGCAATGGTGCTCAAAAAAAAGCCTTTAACCCTGCCTTGCGGGCCGGCCGCCGCGTAACCAGCAGCGTACCAAATGCGCCCCACGACCCAAGCGGCGCCTAGCGCCGCGCTCGAGACGGGGTAGCTGAGGCCAGAGACAAGAAGGCCCCCCAGGAAAGGTGCAAGGTTGTCCGTATAATTGGCATGGGCGCGCTGTGCGCAGTTAAAGGCGTACGCCTTGGGGTTCTTCTCTGCTTGCTCCTGGCTCGCGTAGGCGATTGGGTAAGCCAGCCCACTCTTCCGACGCGCGTTGGCCGTTATAACGGTGTGCAACGTGTTGATGAAGACCGAAGAGACGGCAACGAGGAGGACATAGCTAAACCATAACGCAATCAGTATGAAAACTGGAGAGGGGTGAGTCTGGGGGAGGTTGGGTAGGCGGGTGTGCTACTCGTGAGGGCGTATGGATAGGATGGCGGATCGGCGGAGAGAGGAGGTCGAGAATATTCATTGTAGCAATGTTGAGCAGGTAATGTACCTGTGGTGGGTTGTGGGAGGAATGCAAGGGAAGGGAAGTGGTGTACATAGGGAGGTTAGATCATAGAATGCGCATATAGCGAAGGTGTAAGTAATATGGACATTAACATGAATATGTATGTCTTAGGTGGTATGTATGTATACGCGTGTGTTTCCAGCACCGTGATTGATTGCTACTGTTTCTGGAGTTTTTCTAACTCACCCATATTCGCTCGGAACTTGTAGCGAGTAGGACACCATGGCGCCGAACTCAAGCTTAACGTGTCAGAGTCTGGTGGGCGGTTGATGTGGTGGTTGGGCAGAGTAGAGCTAATTTGGCCGGGATCTCGATGTGTTGAGGCGATGGTGAAGGTTTGATGGTAGACGCTCTCCTTATATACTGCTTGATGATATACGTGTACGTCGAAGCACTTCGCTACGCTTCTCCGTTACGTTTTTGCTGTATGAATGAAAACATAGGTACCTAAGGAAAGGGGGTGCCAAGAAAGCATAGGTGTTTCTAAACGGGTGGATGAATTTCCTTCTTCCAGCTGAGCTGAGGACACCACGGCGACACCATTCTCTCCGAACACCACTTGTTAGGCGAGTATTCCATGGCAACTAACCCGGATCCCGCCGCGAGATTTGACGAAGTGCTGTCATCACTTAGTTAAGGAGCCAATTAGTTGCTGCAATTAAATAATCCGAGTTCCATACATGGTAAATAGAATTTCCATCTTCTAATTGAGGTGAGGACACCACGGCGACACTATTCTCTCCGAGTACCACATGTTCGATAGTAACCCGGATCCCGTTACGAGATTTAACAAAGTGCTGTCATTACTTAGTTAAAAAATTAACTAATTACTTTAATAAAATAATCCCAGAATCATAACATTAGAGTAACTTTAGTATTCTAAGTAATATTAATATAATGAGTACTAATAAATATATAAATAAAAATAAAATAAAATAATAATAAATATTTATTAATTATTAATTAATATTTTACAATATAGTTTTAGGTTTATTATAATTATGAATTTTATATATAAATTACCGCTATTAAAAATAAGAAAATTCTACTTTTCTTTATTTTAAATACTAATTAAACTTTAATTATTTATATTTATATTTAATTATAATTATTAAAAAGTAATTTATTAAATATAATCATTTTATATAAGATGATTTATAAAAGATTTTATAAAAAAATAAAGAATTGAAAACTATAAAAGATAAAAATAGTTAAAGGGTTAGTTATAATTATCGGATGAAATGCCTCCGGGCCGGGACACTACCGAAGCCTGCTACATGTAGGTACCTGTATATGTACAAAGACACAAGCCTTGACACGTCGATACAAGAGGTGCCTGATGTAATTCCTTGTCCCTGTGAATGTACCCTTACAAGGCTGCCAAAATGCCTACTGCCCGTTTTTGACCACATCGATTCCAACCCGGGGCTGCGATGTACTGGTCCTATCATAACAACATCCTCCCACGCCATCGCCCCTCGCCATTGGGCGAGTATTAACTGCACTGTTGATAGAGATAGTAGTGCCACCTATCTTTCGTGAACCGCACCTCCACGACTCGGGATCGCACGACCTCTTCTCCTGCCAAAGCTGGCTATTAATCCCTAGCAGGCCCCGGAAGGGCCCGTGAAGCTGCACTATGAGTTCTCGTAAGTGTTTACGAGGAAAGGAAGGGCGACGGGGGGGAAGAAGATACCGGTTTCTGCTTGCTTCTGGATGGACAATTCACGAGACAACTTGTTGGCTAATGATGCGATCTTGTAGTCAAACAGTTTATTCGCAACGTGCGTGCAGCAAAGACAATCGCCGATGAGCGAGCCGTCATCCAGAAGGAGAGCGCTGCTATCAGGGCTAGCTTCCGCGAGGAGAGCGGGGATCACAATGTGAGGTGCGCATCGGACGATGCAAGAAGCTACGCGCCTCGAAGGCTCTTCTAACTAACCGTCGTTTTTGTCAGGCGCAACAACGTAGCCAAGCTCCTGTATCTGTTCACTCTCGGAGAGAGAACCCATTTCGGCCAAATAGAATGCATCAAACTTCTCGCATCCCCGCGGTTCGCTGATAAACGACTTGGCCACCTCGCTACGAGCCTATTGTTAGACGAAAATCAGGAGGTCCTCACCTTGGTGACCAACTCGTTGAAGAAGTACGCCAGCCTTGCCATCCCTTTTTTACTACTCAGAGCTGACCCCGTATCCTCTTCGATAGTGATCTGGGCCACTCGAACCAATACGTTGTGGGCCTCGCCCTCTGCACCTTGGGTAACATCGCTTCCATCGAGATGTCTCGAGACTTGTTCCCCGAAATTGAAACCTTAGTCTCGACCGCAAACCCCTACATCCGGAGAAAAGCCGCATTGTGTGCCATGCGAATATGCCGAAAGGTCCCGGATCTGCAAGAGCACTTTGTCGAGAAAGCTGCACAACTGCTATCCGACAGGAACCACGGCGTACTTCTCTGCGGACTTACCTTGGTTACTAGTATGTGCGAAGCAGAGGAAGAGGAGGGGGCGGACGAAGGGATCATCGAAAAATTCAAGCAGTTTGTGCCAGTCTTGGTGAGGACCTTGAAGGGCCTCGCTACATCTGGATATGCTCCCGAACACGACGTCACCGGTATCACAGACCCCTTCCTACAGGTAAAGATCCTACGACTTCTTCGGGTCCTCGTTCGTGGTGACGCTGAAGGAACAGAACAAATCAACGACATTCTCGCGCAGGTTGCCACGAACACGGATGCTTCTAAAAATGTTGGCAACTCCATTCTTTACGAGGCGGTTCGAACTATCTTGGACATAGAGGCGGACTCTGGGCTTAGAGTTCTCGGTGTTAATATCTTGGGCAAATTCCTTTCCAATCGCGACAACAATATTAGATATGTGGCTCTTAACACCCTGATAAAGGTCGTTGCCATCGAACCAAACGCAGTTCAGCGGCACCGGAATACAATCCTCGAATGCCTCCGGGACCCCGATATCAGCATAAGGAGGCGTGCCCTCGACCTCAGCTTCACCCTGATCAATGAGAGTAACGTGCGAGTGCTCATTCGAGAGTTACTCGCGTTTCTCGAGGTTGCCGATAATGAGTTCAAACCCAGCATGACCAGCCAAATCGGCATCGCTGCTGATCGGTACTCCCCTAATAAACGGTGGCACATCGATACCATGCTTCGCGTGCTCACTCTAGCTGGAAATTATGTCAAGGAGCCAATCATGGCCTCGTTCGTGCGACTCGTGGCGACAACTGCAGACCTCCAGACATATGCTGTCCAGAAGTTGTATGCGAATTTGAAGAAGGACATTACTCAGGAAAGCCTAACTCAGGCGGGGGCCTGGTGTATTGGCGAATACGGCGATTCACTCCTGAGGGGCGGCCAGTATGAGGAGGAGGAGTTGGTTCAGGAGGTCCGGGAGCACGAAATTATCGACCTCTTCACGACCATCCTCAACAGCAGCTACGCCACACAGGTATCCACTGAGTACATAGTCACCGCTCTTGTCAAACTGAGCACACGTTTGTCGGATGTGTCTCAGGTGGACCGCATTAAACGTCTTTTGGAAATCCATCAGACCAGTTTAGATGTGGAAGTCCAACAGAGAGCAGTCGAGTACGGCAATTTGTTTTCGTACGACCAGATACGGCGTGGCGTGCTTGAGAAGATGCCGCCACCGCAGATTAAGGAAGAGTCCAGGGTCCTGGGCGAAGCCGCGAAGAAGCCCAAGAAAGGTGCTAATCGCAAGTCGAAGCTTGTCGCAAAACCCACAACAGATCAAGACTTACTCGATCTAATGGGGGACAGCACGGTAACACCGATCGCATCTCCTACGAACGATTCTCAGAGCAATACGGACCTTCTTGCCGATATTCTCGGTGGTAGTACAACATCATCCCCGCCACCGGCCACAACCTCATCCCAACTAAACAGTACATCGGCGATCATGGATCTCTTTTCCCAGAGCCATTCAACTCCAAGTCCAGCGCCTGTCGGTTCCAGCTTAGACATCCTATCGTCCGTCACCCCCCCCTCCCCTCAGCAGTCTACCACAGCTCCGTCATCGGGCGGTATCCCGTGTTATAACATGAATGGCCTCAATATCACTCTCCAGCTGCAGCGCAACGCCGAAGGAGCAGTCCAAGTCATGAGCCGCTTCCAAAACTCTTCCGGCGCCCGACTTTCCAATGTGGGATTACAGGCGGCAGTACCGAAATCACAAAAGCTGCAGCTAATGAGCATCACGAACTCTGATATCGCACCAGGGTCTGACGCCACGCAGATGATGAGGATTACGGGAAGCAGGGGGGTGAGTCTTTGGAGTAGCGCGATTCGCAAACCGTTCGTTTCAGCTGGCTAACATTGTGCAATATAGCCCCTTCGCTTAATGTTAAGAATCGGTTATTCCCACCCGTCTGTCGGGCAAGTCATGGATCAAGTAAAGTGGACGGAACCGTCCTAAGTGGTAGAAACCACCAAGAGACAGGGCCCTAGGTTCACATACCAATTCATCCGTCGCCAAGGGGAGGAGGTATATATAGTAGTCCTCAGGTCCCCTAGTCACCAAAGGAGTGACTCGCTCACAACAGGTTCGTCGTCTCTCGCGGTAGTATCATTACCTGCCTAATGATGTAGCCTCGCAGCTAAATACGTTGAAATTGATCACATCAGGCTTATTTTCATTAAAAAGGCAACTAGCCTCGTAGCATCGCAATAAACTACGTCTATATCACATACCTTGTTCGTAGACCTCTTAGGTCGAGTACAGGTGACGGGTAACGGGCTTTATACATCTCCTAGTTGAGTTGATAGAGAAGAAGTAAACCACCCAAGGGCGGATCCATTTAACTAGCGCCCGTCTGGTATATATATAGGTACATCGCCTCGACGAAGTGAAACCTGCAGATTCCACCTAGACGATACTTTGCACCTACGGCCCGCTCATTACCCGGAACTACCACCATTTCTCACACAGCACCTTATGGGGCTCCATCCCTAGGCCAGTAGGGTCAGTAAGCTTCTGGACGAACTCATCCGTCATGTTTGGGACTCCGCAGACGTAAACCACGGCGAACCTCCTCTCGGAAACATCGCCAACGGCCGCCGCGACGTCGTTGATCGTCATCCTCCGCCCGCGATAGGAGATATCTTCTTGGATTAACCCCCCGCGGGGGACGATACCCTCGTCTTCTCCTATGCCCGTGAGGAAGAGCTCGAATCGGCCCTTCACTGCCCCGCTACGGGGCCCTAGGATCGTGGTCAGACGCTCAAGGAACAGTATGCGGTCGGCGCAGGGGGTGCCGGTGGCCGCGTTGCCATCACCCTTCAGCGAGTAGAGAAATCGCACCTCGAACGGGGCGGAGGGGACCCCGCCCTCGGCCAGACTACCGAGCATGCTGATCAGCGGGTTGATGCCAATACCGCCGGCGACGAAGACGGCGCGCCTCAGGGTCCTGACGTTGACACCTGGGGGCGGCCACACAAAGCTGCCACCGATGCGGACCTGCAGCTCAGCATAGGTGATGGAGTCCGAGGGCTGCCACAACCAGGCGGCCGGCGGGTCGGACGACTTCTGCACCGCAAGCTCCAAGTACAGGTCGTCGTCGGGCAAGCTCCCCGGTGGCGACGATGGCCACGCCCTCGATGGCACTGACGTGATGGTGTACCCCCCCGCCTTCGGAACTCCCGGCACGAAGACATCGAGCCACTGCCCCGGTAAGAACTACGCAGGTCAGATATGCCAGCTGTGCTTTTGCATGGCCCGTTTTGTTTTCTCCACGGTTCAGAGGCACGGCGGTGACGACTTACCCGAACAGGGGCCGAGAGCGCTAGGCAGAACAATCTGATATGATCATTGATTTCGTCGACCCTCGCTATCGTGACGGTGGTAAGAGACTGCAATTGTTGGTCAATTGCGGTTGACATTTTTCGAATCCAGCCTAATAAAAACCTGCCTTATCTCGCGGCTCGGCTGCCGTCCGCTCAAGATGACTGGGCTTCATCGAGGTCATGCTGTAGTGGTAAACACCTAATATTGCGAGTCAAGCACGACCGACGTCTTCGGGTCTAGGTGATGGCTTCTAACGCGTTCAAAATCTCCTATGGAATTTGGATAGACCAGCGAGAGGTCGAGACATTTGTGAACGATTGAGTATGAGGACAGTCCTGTGTAATAAGTGGTATTAGATATGAAGGTTTCGATAACAGCCAGCGCAGTCGGCGGGGTTGTAGTTGGAGTAATACAGGCTCGTTGATTACATATTCAGCAGCCACGAAGAGCCCCCGAGGCCGGGTTATCACAAGCGAATATAAACATATAAAGGGGCGGGGCTTGGAACGGCCCCCTCCGGGGTGTTGTCTGCCCTAATAGCATGATAATATGTATTCCTTTCGGAGCCAAGTTACGAGAATAAGTCGACTAACCGCCCGAATAATGACCGAACCCGCCCAACTACCGCGAATTCAGCAGCCCGAATAGAACAGCATCGCAAACCCCCATAACAGCCACGGGAGACCCACTACCCTTCTTGGTGCTTCTGGGGAAGCGGGCACGATGGCAGGATGTTGATCGGGGTTCTTAGCGTCACCGGCGTCGTTTCCTTTCAGATCCAAAGATTCTATCGCATAGGAACCTAGTAAATACTTCTCAGGGGGCCATAGGCCCAACCGAACCACTCTGCCTCGGCCAGGGAGGAGCAACCCTCATGAGCCAAGGGATGATCTCATCCATAGGGCGGCAATGTAGCATTATATGTCGGCAAGGATTGTGAGGCAGAGGAATCCGACTGATCAAGCTGGAGACAAGGAATGTCAGTAAGAGTCGGGATATCCTCTTAGGCATGACGGCATTGGCGATCCTTCTAATACTTGAAAAGACGGCGTGGTCGCGCAATTTGAGCACCGAGGGGTGTTCTAGCCGTGGGAGGTCATGTTGCTAGAACTCGACTCAGATACCGGTACCAAGATGGCTTGTGCCGTACACACCGCAACATCTGCGTCTCCGAAGTCCTCGCTGTCAATATAATCCTTCAGGGATGATGTCAATGATGGACAGTTGGACTTCAATGAATCTCGGGATTCCTGCCTCAAGAACACTCTGGGTATCTTCGGCAGCTGTGTACATGGGATCTCATCCATAGCTCCGTCTCTCTCTATTATTTCCAGGTTGTCGGTAGTCGTTCTAGCTGGCGAAATGGGTGGCAACGGAAGGGTACTCGTCTGAGAGCACTCCTCTAGACCAGGAAATCCAGCATCAGAGGGAGACCAGCGCATAGGCCGAGAAGGAGTTATTTTGGGGTGGGCATGCCGAGGGTCGGAGGTTAATGTGCTTCCGGTGTTTATACACGATAAATGAGATTTGGATTCATCCTGGGGAGTCACACCCAACTGTCCGAGATCTTCCATAGAGCTGTAATGGAAACTAAATGTTGCATAGGGCGAATCTCTAGGGTCGTCCAGGTGGTACTTGTAGAAAGTAGCCTGTTCCGGGTTGTCCATGAAGCCAGTACTAGGCAAGCTGCGGGTGTTAATCACGAATAACATTAAGGATTGTTGGTATTGGGGGCAACTTACACGATCCCAAAGCGCTCCTGGCGGCGGTACTGGTACGCACTCAAGTCAGGAGCAGCAGGCTTTCGTTCTCGACAGCGGAATACTTGAATCTCGATAAAGCCGCCTCTTTCAATGGCAAGTCCTCCTTCTAGCCCAGGTAAAAAGTAGAATGTCCTTGCCTCAATTTTGGTGGCAGAGGCCCCGCCGGCGCTCTTACTTACAGCCTTGAGTCCGTCGCTAGGCTCATAGAGGTGTCTTGTTACACTCCCACTAGAGCAAGTGGCTGTGTCGACTCCCCAAGAGGTCATGCGATGTCCATTTATGGACATCTTGAAAAAGAGGAACTTTGAGGGGGGCGGCTGGTCTATGATATACCTGACCCAGAATTGGCCTGGACGCCGGTTAGACCGCGCTGGGGCAAAATACAGGACATAAGAGGCGCAGGCCTACCTGGACTAGAGGGAATAAATACAGCCATATGGGGGTTGGCTTTCTTGTGGTTAGTTGGGCCATCGTCACCTGTACGGTGCTGATAGGAGAAAGCATGCGGGCTCTGGGGGCCACGGTCAACCTTGACGAGCCGAACAGACGATCCGTGAGGATGAGGGTACTCTGGTAAGGTCTGTGCTTCGGGGCCAGCTACGACGGATACCTCGACCTTTCGAAAGTAGGGCATGGCGACTACAAGGCAGAGTGTGCGCAAAGCAGAGACGAGAGTGCGGGCAGAGGGATGGGCGAGGTCGCGAGGGCAAGGGCGAGAGGGCGTGCATTGTTGTGATATGGAAACTGGTCAGGAAATGACCTGCGGTGTGGAGCGAGCAAAGAAGAGAGGGTTGGCTAGACAGGGCTGGAGAAAGCATGACGAACAAGAGATGGGCGGAGTAGAGTGAATAAGGAGGCAAGGCGAGTGAATTGCAGACAAGCTGTTGCAGCAGCAGGAACATCAGCAACGGCAACAGGGCAAAACACACATATAGATATACCTGCCTAGCGGGAGTGACTGTGCCCACGAACCCGAGCTTCTGGGAAATCGCAGAGACATGCCCACGTATGTGCTGGCTGTGGGCTTCTCCCTACGCAACACGACACAAACAGCCCTCTCTGCCGGATGCAGAGGGTACCTACTAGGCTACCCTTATTCAAGAACCGGCCGGCTTTGGGCATTTCTTCTTTTCTCCATTCCGCGGGGTCCGCTCTGTAGGCGTCCTGCTGAGAATCTAGTATGTACACAGTTGAGAGCTTGCTATCGAGCAGGAGCTCCATCATCAGCCCAGCACCTGTTTGGTAACGTCCTCCTTGCCTATCAAACCTAGGCTTCTTATCTGGCCAGCACTTGGCGCGTTCTCCCGTGTGGATGACGCCTCTGCCTTTCGGTATGCAGCTTGCAGGGCTTTTACTCTCGCGGCCTGTGTTGTTCGATAAGTTACGGCTGAGGTGCCGGTTGGGGCCAGCACCAGGGTAGATTCTGACCTCTTTCTTATGATGTAGGCATTCGTAATAATCTTCTAGAACAGGTGCGCATTTCTTCTTCCCGGAGTCATCCTCGGCAGATGTGTTAACCACATAACAGGCCAGGACCTCTTGCCAGAAGGGGAAGCATCGCGACGGGCCTATTGCGTTAACCGTATTAGCATTAGAAGCTGGGCCGACAGAAATTATGAAAGGAGATTGCATGGGTGCTGACCTCCGTTGAGGCCGTAGCCGGATGCCATTGCGTGCTGGCGTTTCGCGTAAGTATAGACGGCACTTAACTGCTGCTGGGCGACGTGAAGGTGTAGAGAGGCCTTGAATGGTCTTTCTAACGTACCTATATAATGATACTACTCCTAAATCCTAACTCACGGAAGACAATAAGCATATAATGAAATAATCATTTCTTGTATAATAAAATAGATTACAAAGATCCATTTTCTGAAAAATATAAATATAATGAATTTTTTTTTTATCTATATGTAATATAATAAATTAATTATTCATTATAAATTAATTACCTTTTTAATTATTAAAGAATTTAAATATTAATACTTAAATTTAGTATATTACTATTAATATTAAAATATATAAAATAATATATATATTAGAGGAAAGCAGCGTAGGTACGCTATAAGAATATCACGGTTTTAAGAGCTATTCGCTAGGTAAAAGGGTATAAATTAAAGGAAAAAAGCTATACGAGGAAGAAAAGGAAGAAAGGTACGCTTTACTAAGGCCGCGCCTTTAGGAGCTAGCTATATACGGGAGGAGCGGTTATATACCTTAGTATTATATTAATTAAGGTTTTATAACTAGGCGTAGCTTATTATATAAGCTTTTCTTTCTATTAATTAAGGTATTCAAATCGTTTTTAATTAATAGTACTTCCTTTTCTTTTAATTAATTAACCTCTTTCTTATTTCTCTTCTTACTCTTCTTCCTAAACCTCTTCTCCTTTTATAATAATAATAGCTTTCCCGTTCTCGTTATTTTAATTAACGTAAATAAACCTCCTTTTCTATAGTTATTCGTCGTTATTATATTATTACTAAGGCCGTATTTCGTCGGGATATAGCTTTTCTTTTAATTCGCGCGCTTCGTAAGGTATTCGATTAATTCCTAGCTAACGTAATATTAATAAATATCCTCTTCTTCGTTTCCCGACCCCTTAGGTTTTCCCGTTCCTATTTTCCGTCGTTTAATACGACGTTTTACGCTTACTTCTCCCGCTAATAAGAGTAATAATAATAACGTAAGTAATATCGCCGTCGTAATAGCCTTAATAAGGCTAACCTTTTCTGTTTTATTATTCCTTTCATTTAGCTACGTATTAATTAGTTTTATAGCGAAAAAGCGCCCTCCTTAACCTTAAGCCCGCCGCTTAGGAGGCTACCGTCTTTCTTTAAACTCTTATTACCTTACGTACGGTTACCGTCCCGCGTACGGCTACTACTTTCCGCTCGGTTGCTACCCGCCCGGCGGGCGCCCGCGCCTTCCCCTATCGTCGTTACGTAAGCGCCTTACGTACTTATTACGATAAAGAAAGCCGGAACCCGGCGTACGCGAAATACGTAACTAATAAATATAATTACTAACCGTTATAAGTATTACGTATATCCCGTATAAGTAATTATTATTAATATTTCTTAACTCCGCCGTCGCGCTTTCCGTCGCTTATTAATAAGTAGCCGGCCGTACCTCCGTTAACGGCTCCTGCTTACGAGACGTCCTCGCCTTTATTAACGCCGAACGCTTATTAACTTACGGTTTAATCGGCCCGTTAGCCTTTCCCTTCCCTCCTTCCTTTTTTTTTTATTTTTTTTATATATATATTAACCCTTTTTTTTCTAAGGAATTCCTAAACCTTATAACCTAAGCCTCCGGCCCGGCCTCCCTTCGGCGAAACCGCCTCTACTAGTCCGTCTACCGTCGCCGCCGCAAGGTCAAGCTATATTTTATCGCTTATTTAAAGTCTTTCGGCCGGGAATCGTTTCTAGTTTATGTAAAATTCGTATTACTAGAAGGCTATAGCTAGCGTTACTTATACGAAGTCTAAAATTACACGGACCCTATCTACGAACGCCTTCGCTTAAAGTTCCGGTAATAAAGGTATTATTTCCGCGCCCGAGTCGGCGGAAACCGCGGGTACGGGGTTTAAATCGAAGCTATATATCGCGAAAAAGAAAAAGAGCCTTATCGAGGTATTAAGCCGTTCGTTTAACGCTAATTAAATGATAAGTAGTTATTATACCTAATCGTTTTACTCGTAGTTAATATAGCTTCGTAATACTGTTTAAATTTCTTAATTAACCCTTTCGAAGCCTTTATTTATTTAAGGATAATAGGCCGTATTTAATTTTTACTTTATATCTATTAAACGGTAAAAATAACTTTAGAAACGGCTTAGTTAATTCGATTCTTTATCGTTTACGATACTTTTTAATTAGCTATAATATCGAACGTAATACGCTAAGAAGCGCTCCGTATACGCTTCTACGTTTATAATAAACGTAAGCTCGAGGATTATAATCTTATTTAAGCGGTCTTTAATTACTTATATATATCGGTTACCTTTCGATAGGAATAGGTTTACGATAAAGTTTATTTATATATCTTTAAAGTAACGGTTAAATATAGGAAAGAATTTAAGGAATCCTTTTTTATATTTCCTTTATAACTTAAAGCGGCCGTAAACGTTATAGTTATAAATAAACCTCCTTACGTATTAATAAAGTATCGGTTAGTAAAAGTCTCGGCTTAGGATCGCTATAGTATCTTTTCGGCCGGAATAACTAATAGCGTATAAGTCGTAGGCCTTCTAAATTATTTTCGACCGTAATTCGTTAAGTTAATCCGTACCTAAGGAATTTATTTCCGCGTCCCCTAAAAAAGGACCCCCCGGTACCTATATCCGGTTCTTAAATAATAACTGTCCTCTAGCGTTAATCGTATACTCCGCGATTTATACCTTTAACTTTATAATCGAAACGAAGGAACGGGCGCCTTATTTTATTACTTAATACGTTTATTAATATAACGTATCGAAATACGCCGTCTTTTCCTATAGGAACTAAAGTTCGTTATCTTCGAAAACTTTAATATCGGGCCCGGTGAATTAAAACGTTACTACTACGTAGGTTTAGTTTCGAAGAGCCTCTTTAAGGATAAGTTATAGGTACCGTAATTCTTTATCGTTTATACTTAACCGGTTTTAGTCCTTTCGAAAGAGCGCGTCGGGAACCGCGGCTTAATTATTAGCGCGGTAAACGAAGTCGAAGTTATACTAGAATAAGAGCTCCGCTTAATACGCTTATCGCTCCGAGAGACGCTAGCGGGTTATAAAATATTCGAGGTTCTTATAATCGGTTAGGATAATGAATTTTTTATAACTCCTTAACTTAACGTCTTATTATTTTAAGTACTTAATAATAACTAACATTTCCTTATCGTAAATTAAATAGTTAATCTCGGCCGGCCTTAACTTCTAAGAGTAATGTAGTGGTGCGGTGGATCTAGGCCACGTAGCCTTTTCGATGTGTATTTATATGGGTCGCGCACTCATATTTTCATCAGCCAGACTTAGACCTATAGACATCACGACCTACAGCCATTCACTCGTTTCTTGCCATGCCTTTCTAGCCATCCTCGTTGCCCTTTTCCAGTCTCTCCTTTCCTAGCTGCCGTTTTCAGCTGGCCGATCAACCGATTACAGCTGTTTACAGCTGTAATCTTGGTTGATCGGCACTGGGCCAGTTGTTGGCAGTTGGGCAGTTCTTGTTTCGTGCTTCCATCACAGCGTGCCTACGCTGCTCCTGTTCAGTAATAAGCTATTACCTTTTTTCCTCCCCCGGCTTATTAAAATAATACGCCGCTAAGCGCTTACCTTAAGTAATCTACTTCTAAAAACGTTAGCTTATTTAAGTCTTACTACGTTAAAATAAGCGCTGACGTAAATAAGATCTTCAGGCGCTAGAACGACTCTTTATAGATAAGGTTCCATTTAAAAGGCTAATTCTTTTTTATTAAAGTAATAAAGAAAGCGGCAATCTCGGAAAATCCGGGAATAAATATACGGTAATAATTAACGAACCCTAGGAAGCTTCTAACTTCTTTTACTAAGGTAGGAGCTTTTTAGTTTAGTATTACTTTTATCTTTTCCGGGTTTGTTTATACTCTCTTACCGACGTATATAATAAACCCTAGGTACTTAATAGTCGTTATTATAAACTCATATTTCCCAGGGTTTAGGTAAAGGCCGGCTTCGTAAAAGCGCTTTAAGATTATATATACTTTAACTATATAATCCTTACAAAACCTACTCGTATAAATAAGGATATCGTTTATATAAGCGTTAACGAAGTTATCGAGGAACCCTTTTAAAACGTTATTTATATATCTTTAAAAGGTTACCGGGGCGCTTATTAATCCGAAGGATATTATTAGTTATTCGAATAAACCGTATCGGGTTTTAAACGTCGTTTTAAATTCGTCGCCTTTCGCGATACAGACTTTATAAAAAGCCGCGATTACGTTTACTTTCGTAAACTACTTTACCGACGTAAGGTTACGTAAGGTATCGCCGATAAACGAAAGCGGGTAACGGTTTCTTCGAGTTAAGCGATTTAACACCTAGTAATCGTAATAAAATCGAAGGCCTCCTCTTAACTTACGGGCGAAAAAAACTAGGGCTCCTACTTCCGAGCTATTAACCCGAATAAATCCCTTATTTAATAAGTCGCGAAACGTTTTCCGTAATACTAGAAGCTTTTCCCGGAATATCCAATATAAGGAACCTTAAAATAATAACTTCTTTTTTCCGTTTAAACCTTTTTTTATATCGATCTTATAGTTAACGCCCGGGCGATACGGAGCGAGACGGTCGGCTTCTTCCTTTTTCTATAACGGAAATAAGTCGTAAAATTCCCGTAGAATTATCTTTCGTAGCTCCGCCTCCGTTTTTATAAGCTTAAGCTTTAAGGCTTTTTTTATATCTACTAAGGAGGTAGCAAATATCGATATACTTTTCGTATTTATTTCTTCTTTCTTGCGGCAGCATATCCTCTTAACTAAGCTTACGAACGTATTAATTAATACGTATTAAGCTTCTTTTAATTCCTATATAAGCGGGGTCGTACGTTCCTTTTCCTTATATTATACGCTTATTCGTACTTTTTCGTATTATAATCGATTTTCGTATAAGTACGAGACTACCTCGTTATATATCTACTACGGTTTTCCTAGAATTATTAGGAATTTTAATAACAGAATAACGTATACGTATATTAATTACGTATATTCATTAATCTCTAAGGCTATATAGGTAATTCCTTAAATTACCGCTTCTTTTATAGCGCTTAAGGCGCCTTTAATACTATAGGAAA